GCTGTGGATTTTTCTAGCCTTTCTTCCGGGCTGCCCAAGCAAGTGGCTGAGCCTGGATCTAGCTGGAGGTACGAGTTGTACCACATCTAATGCAAACCAGCCCTGATAGCATTTCATTGCATCCCAACAGACCCTGGTGCTGCACGAAGTCATCATTACACATCCAAGGTCCAGCTGAGCAGAAATGCCCTGGGCAATCCTACTGCTGGTAAACTGAGGCTGTGGAGTGGGTGCTCAGCATTTGGCCTCTGGCTGTTTTTTTAACTAAATGCACTTAACAGAAAAATGTGGTGGTTTCCCAGGCCTGATGCTGGCTGCTGGAGCATCCGGCCCCATCCTGGCTGCCTGGCTAACATTGCCTGTCTTTACCCCATGTATCTTCCTATTGCAAAGGAGACAGTGAAGAAAAAGCGGGAGAGGATTGTGAGTGAGTTTGGGAAGCTGCATCGTCTGCTGGCTGATGAGGAGAAGCTTCTGCTCCAGAAGCTGGAGGAGGAGGAGAAGAGGATTCTGCTGTTGATCAATGAAAACCTGGCCAGGCTGATGGAGCAGAAGTGCTTGCTGGAGGAGCTGATCCTGGAGATAAAGGAGAAGATCCATCAGCCAGCTGATGGGCTGCTCAAGGTCAGGCGATGCTGCCAGCCCCATTAACTCAATCCTCATGCCTTTGCTGTCTGGGTGGGTGGCCAGGGCCAGATTGGCTGGGGGGGAGCCTCTGGAGCCTCACACCCAGAATGGTTTTTCTCTTCTCCTTCTAGGACATGAAGAATGTCCTGAGCAGGTAGGTACCCATGCCAGTTCCTTCTACTGTCCCAGCTGCCTCCAGGCACTGAGATGTTCGTGTCTGGTCCATCTCAGCCACCCCCCAGAGCCAAACAAAGGTCTCACCTGGCCTTGTGGTGTGTGAGATGTGTCCCCTCCTAAGGGACATACTGCTCAGCTGGCCTTGCTCCTTCCTTCCCACAGCCTGGCACAGCCACTCACCACATCGTTTAGCTCTGGTCCCATCATAGAATCCCAGACTGGTTTGGCTTGGAAAGGACCTTAACATCACCCAGTTCCACTCCTTGCCACGGGCAGGGACACCTCACACCAGTCCATGTTTTGGCCTTGAACACTGCTAGGGAGGGGCCAGCCACAGCTTCTCTGGGCACCCTGTGCCAGTGCCTCAGCACCCTCACAGGGAAGAGCTTCTGCCCCAGAGCTCATCTCAATCTCCCCTCTGGCAGGTTAAAGCCATTCCCCCTTGTCCTGTCCCTCCATTCCTTGTCCAAAGCCCCTTCCAGGTTTCTTGCAGCCTCTGTAGGCACTGGAAACTGCTCAACCTGCTTGTCACACTCATCAGCCTTGCTGATATGCAAGCAGTTACCCCTACTGCTCACAGCCAAATAGGTCAAGGGGCGAGTTGCATCTGTGCAACCAAAAGGCATTAACAGCCCAGCAGGAGGCTGGCAGTGCTGGGGGCTCTGGATACAGTCCGTGGGCATCACTCTCCTTTCAGGTGTGAGGGGGTAACATTCCCATCCCCCAAGGCTGTGTCTGTGACTCTGAAGGAGGACTACAGCATCCCGGAGCGCTGCCTGGGCGTGAGGGACATGCTGAAGCAGTTCAAAGGTAAGGCTTTGTGCTAGCTCCTGGCACACTGGCATCCTGGTTCACAGCCCCCTCCCTTCCCACCCATACCCTGGAGCTTGAGGAGTTGTTTTCAACAAGCTTTGTCCAACTGGTTTGTTTACTGATGAGTTCAGGCTGGTTTCATGGAGGGGAGACCCTCCTCTTTGTGGTCTTGGATGGGTTGTGAGGTGACCCTGAAGTCTAGGAGGTCACTCAGGAGTTTCAGGCTCCGCATTGCCCACAAAATCCTTCTGTCAGTGTTGGTTGTTTCTGAAGCTGTGCTGCGGGCAGCGGAGCCATCCTCATTCTGTTCCTGCTGTGCAGCCGGATGCCAAATACTTTGATGTGGTTTATGGTTAGCATGATCTTCTGTGTTGCACTTCTCCACTGCTGGGCAGCACTGGGAGCTGTGCAAAACCATGGGCACAAGCAGATAAATGTGGGAGGTGGGAAGATCTGGAAAAGCCCCGCGTGCAAGTTGCAGGCACCTGCTCAGGTGCATGCTTGCAGACCTCTGAAGCCCCGTCTGTCCTTCCACCCTTCTCTCACTCCAGTGGATGTGACTCTGGACCCTGAGACGGCGCACCCTGAGCTCACCCTGTCTGAGGACTGCAAGAGCGTGCGACGTGGGAGCAAGAAGCTACTTCTGTCCCTTTTTGACAACCCCAAGAGGTTCAGCACGGCTCCAGTGGTGCTGGGGAGTCAGGTCTTCTTCTCAGGCCGCTGTTACTGGGAGGTACAGGTGGGAGACAAGCCAGAGTGGGGCTTGGGGCTGTGCAGGGAGTCTGCCAGCCGGAAGGGCAACATCCTTTTCTCCCCCAACAACGGCTACTGGGTGCTGCGACTGCAAAACGGGGGCAACTATGAGGCCCTTACCTCGCCTGTCTCCCCTTTGACCCTGAACGTGAGACCCCGGCGCATTGGGATCTTCCTGGACTACGAGGCAGGAGAAATCTCCTTTTACAATGTGAGCGACCGCTCCCATGTTTACACCTTCACCGACAGGTTTTCGGGAAACCTCCGGCCTCTCTTTTTCCTGGGTGCCTTTTTGGGATCTTGGGTCAGGGACACACAAGGGACTGGGTGCATCATCCTGTGACAGCGGCTGCTCTGGCTTCTCACTGATGAGCAGGGACCTGGGAGCTCAATCAGTTCCTCCTGCAAGCAAGACAGCACCAGGGAAATACCTGCATGCCTTGTCAGGGTCCTGGCAGGGTCTGTGTGCTCCTGGCTGCTGGGGGTGACCTGACAAGTGCAACACCCGCCGTGTGCCTTGCCTGTGCTGGGAAGGACACTTTGCACTGGAGACATGCCATAACCCTTGGTGCTGCTGATGGGGACAGGGGAGCCCCCTAACCACCAGTGCCCTGCTGCTCATCTCATGGGCTGCTGGAGAAGGTACACACCCAGCCTAATGCATAGTGCTGATTTTAGTGTGAATTGTTCTGGAACAAGGCAATAAAGGGTTGATGTGGGGAGCCTGTGCAGTGAGCAGTGTGGTTTTGTGGCACTTTCATCCCCAGTCGTTAGCCCCAGCTAATCTGCAGCGTCTCAGAGGGCAAAGGATGCTGCTGTATCTGGTCTTGCCCAGCCTAAAGAGGGTCCTCGAGAGATCCTGCTGTGACATCAGTGAGACACTGCAGTAAGCTGGTCACCCCCCCAGCAGGGATTTGGTAGCAGCAGCTGCCTGCATAGTTGGCCATGCTTCAGCATCAAAGAGTCATAGAACCATGGAATAGTTTGGGTTGGAAGGGACTTAAAGCTCATGCAATGCCCTGCCATGGGCAGGGACACCTTCTACTAGAGCAGGTTGCTCCAAGCCCCTGTGTCCAACCTGGCCTTGAACACTGACAGGGATGGGCTAAGGCCTTTGGTGAAGGTGAGGGGACATCTGTGTGGGTGTGCACGGTTGCTGGGATGCTCTCTCTCATCCCATAGTGGGGTAGTAAACTCCAGGTCTGGCAGCTCCAACCCCTCCACCTCCCCTCACAAGCCACAAGGGTGGGAAATTTCTACACATGGGAAGTGGTGCATTATTGACCTCAGGACAGGGACACTACAGGGGCTGCAAAACTCTGGGAAAGGAAAATAACCCAGTTTCTGCTGATGTCTCTGAATTTGCCTTTGGTCTTTCCTTCCCCTGAGACATCCCCTGGAACATCTCTTCTGCTCCAGGCTGTATTCTTGCCCCAGCTTCTTGCCTCAGGCTGCCACTGTGTTGCTGGAGGAAAAGCTCTCAGGTCCTTAAGCTCCACTGTGGCATCAGCCAGCTGTAGTCATCTAAACCAAAGTGCCTGTGGTACACAGGGCCAGGAGACAGGAGACACTGCCTGGAGGCAGATGGGGTGGAGGTGATGCCAGCAGCTGTGGGCTGCCAGCTGGAGCTCACCCTTCAGAGAGAAATAATGAATCTGCTTAATTTAAAGATTAACTCAATTCAAACAAAATGAGACCTGGTAAAGTGTGGTCTTAAATGCTCAGCACAATTTCTCTGGGGATGTCCTGGATGGTGCTTTAGGAGTCTCCTAGTGAAAAATGATGCTGGACCTGAGACAGCAGCTCCTCTCAGCTTGACTTTCATTGCATTTTGGAGAATCTCACCCTTCTCCCTTTATTTTGAGAGCTGCACAGCAAAGAGAAGAGACCAGCTAGAAGTCCTAAGTTTGCCATGTCCCAGGAAGGAGAAGAGCAATGGGTCTCGGTGGGCTCTGCAGCTCATTGATCTCCATGGAGATCTTACAGAGGGAGTTTATGGAGCCTGGGGAGATAAGAAAGAGAGCCTTGCCCTTGGAGATCTTGTCAGAGGGCTGAAAGCAAAGGCAGTGGAGGGGTGGGAGAGTGATGAGGACAGCCAGGGAACCTGTTGTGCAGCGTGACAGTTGGGAAGGCACCAGGCTAAATGTCACCAGGGGCAGGAGGACATGGTAGGATGGAAACTGTCCAGAAAGCACGAGCAATCTGACTGTGGCAAGGTGACAGATGAGTGGCATTTGCTGTGGCACTGGAGGGATGAAGAGTGTTTCCAAAGAGGTGGGAGGAAGTGCAATAGTTCAGAGACCTTGCAAATAGGGGGAAGAAAAGAATGAGCGGGAAGGATATGAAATCACCCCAATGCAGCATCCAAAGCATTCCTAGAAATCATGAATCTGCCTCTCCCAGAAAGGAGAGTAAAGGTTGAAGGCATGAGATAGCTCTGAATAGGCTATAAAAATTTCTGGTTTACTCTCCACATCACCTGCAACTAAGAAACGGCTCAGGGCAGGTACCAGTCTGCTCTGAGATGCCCAGACTGGGTGACAATGGGCAGCTAGAGAAAAGCCAGGACCTGGCTTTTAGAGCTCCCTGGTGACTTAAGCTAAGCTGATCCTAAAGCTATTTGCAAGCAGATTTTCTGTTTAAGTCATGACAAGTTGAGCTGGCCCCTGTCCTTGGTGGAAGCTCATTTATTTCCCAGCTTTGGCCTCTATGCGGATCCTGCCCAGGAAGGACCAGGTCCTGCTTGGACCACCCACCTCAGCCATGAAGGAGGTCTGCATGGTACAGCATGGTCTGACCCAAGCAGGTGGATCTTTCTGCAAGTGCTCCTGCTCCCCAGATACCCAGCAAGTTGGTGACCCTCACACAGCATCCTAAGATTATTTATTGCCAAAGGGGCTGACCTATACGTGCCAGGATAATCAGTCACATCATATCTATTTGGTTTCTGTATGATGAAGGGAGATGGGCACATACATATGCATATACATATATTTTACAGGGATGTTTTGGGTTGATACAGTCTCTTGCTGTGGTGAATCCCAACCTGATCTGCTTAAGGTGTCTGGAGCTACTGAAGGCAGCAATCCCTTGAGATACCACGTCTGGCAGAACAGCCATGGATGGGGTGATCAGGGGGCTGTTCTTCTGACCAATCAGTAGACTAATGTCACATTTTTGGGCTGGGGCAGTTTGGTCACCCAGAGACACTGACAGTGTCCCCTGCAGCAAAATTTACAGACCTGAAGCTTTAGAAATGTGCTTTCTCAACAAACGTTAGCTTCCTTCTTTCTTTTCTAGTACAGTGAAAAATGCTTCTTCATCTTGGGAGGATGTGAGTAGTCATCTGTGTCTTTCTAAGAACTGAGCAGAAATGTTCTTGATTGCCACTTCTTCCTTCTGCTGGCTGTTACTGGGAAGGTGATACTCAGCCACCATATCTAGCATAATATTTCCGTGTCTTCCTCAGCTCTGGAAGTCTGGGACATATCACTACTTTAGGAAAATACTACTTTTGTATGCAGCATGCAAAACCATCCTCTTTTACATGCCTTTTTTTGGATGCTGTCTTCCCAGAAGAGTATCACCCATCTTGGTGTGTCTGGGAAGAGCTGTTTTGGGTGGAACACTGAGCCTCCCTCCCTGTAGCAAGGCAGGGCCCTGGTCCCTGGGATGGTGGGAAGGCACAGAGCTGGAACTGCTGAGTGCACTGGCATTTTACCTTCGGGATATCTAATTCCTCTCTGAAAAAAATGGAGACGTAAAAGACATCAGCCCACGATCCTTGGTTGCCACTAATCCCTACCTCACTGAGCCCCCCCAGCTCCTCCTTCTGTGCAATGCCAGACTCTGACTTCCAGGCCTCCTGGTTGTCTTTATACCTCAAAAAGCCTACAGACACACCAGGGTGATACAGACAAAAAGTATGTAGAAGTGTGCATGTCTATTATAATAATGGTGTTGTTCTTATCATAGTAATGATTTTATTTTTATTCACCGCTTGGCTTTCCCAGGCTTTTCATTAAAAACACCTACTTTTATATACATTGCACAAAACGTTCAGTAAATACCACGCTCTAGTTTCAGGATGTCTTGTAGTAGTTTACAAATTCTGAAACCCTTGACACCACCACTCTTGTCTTGGTCTGAATCTAGAGGAAACCGCCCGTGAAGTCTCCCTCCTCTTGGGTCTCAGTATCCCCACTATGTGCAGAGCAATCCCTGGGTGTGGATTCGAGCTCATGGTGACATGGGTACTGCAGCCTCTGCCTGCCTGCCTCTGCTCCTGACCACTTTCCTGCATTCCTCCACCTCCTCCTTTGCAGAGCCTGGCGGCTCTGAAGATCTCTAGGGTTGCCTTCTCCATGCACACGCTGCTTGCTTGCTGGCTGGCCTGGGAGGCAGCTGCTAGCTTGCTCAAAGCTGCTGTCTGCCTTTGCCTTGATCGTGCAGGCTTCATTCACACCTCGGTGCTGGGGGTGTGGGTTAACAAGAGCGCTGCGTTCCTCACATGAACTTCTCTGAGCTGTCACGCGTAGGTGGGTGCAAGATCAAGAAAGACATGAGCAATTCAGGACTCCCTGCAGGCTCCCTCAATAGTATTGAGGAGTTAGCTGAGGTAACCAGGGTGGGTGTCTGCTGTAGGTGGCTTGAATGTGACCTGGGTTGTTAAGGACATTGGTGCATGGTGTTGTTTGCAGCAGGCTCAAACAGTACACGGGCTGCATGGTGCTCCCTGGATGACTCTGCACTGTGTATCCTTCAACAAGAAACCCCAAGGCTGTGGGACTGCTCCCACAGGGACAGATGGAGCTTGTACCCAAGAAGAACTGTGGAGACTCAAGCTGTTTAGGGATGACCTCATGGCAGGTCTTCCCCCTCCTGTCCTCGCTCCTGCTGTTCCCTGCAGCGAGGACACCTCTGGGCACTCAGCTTTGTGCCAATCTCAGTCTCTCCAGGGTGAAGCTACAGGGCTCTAGCGCTCAGCTATGGGGCAGGCTGGTACCCAACAACCAAGGTGTCCTTGGTCTGCAGCGTGGCTGTGATAAGCCCAGCTCCCAGAACAGGCCATGGGGCATGTGGTGCCTGGGGTGTCAGGGCTGTGACCAAACCCACTGCCCTCCTGTGGGAGCAGCTCCTTGTCACCCAGGCACAGCCACCTTCATGGTGATGTCCACCCGAACCTCCTGCCCAGCAGCATCTCGGGGAAGGGTGCTCTGGCCCTGCTCACTGGCACAGCTCTCCACCTAACCTCCTCCTCCCCAGATGCTATTTTAGGCTGGGTGCAGTCAACGCTGTACCTGGAAGACTGACCTGGTGCTCACCACCCTGTGGGCTGAGGATCTGGGGGCTGCAGTTCCTGACATGGCAAGGTGCCTGACATACCTGATAGGCTCCTTCCTCCCTCAAACATCCCCTTGTCTGCCTGGTCCCCTCCAGCCCCACCTGAGGCTCTGCTCTCTGGATGGCTCCCACCCAGCCTTTGCCCTGTGTCTGCTCATCCTCACCCCTCCCAGGAGCCCCCTTCCTTCAGCTCTGTGGCCCCTCACATATCAAAGACATGGAGCTGCTGGAGCAAGTCCAGAGGGGGACACAGAGATGCTGCGAGGGCTGGAGCAGCTCTGCTGTGAGCCAGGCTGAGAGAGCTGGGCTGGGGCAGCTGGAGAAGAGAAGGCTCCTGAAGGGGACACCTTAGAGCAGCTCCAGGGCCTAAAGGGGCTCCAGGAAACCTGGAGAGGGGCTTTGGACAAGGGCCTGTAGGGACAGGCCAAGGGGAATGGCTTTAACCTGCCAGAGGGGAGATTGAGATGAGCTCTTAGGCAGAAGTTCTTCCCTGGGAGGGTGCTGAGGCACTGGCACAGGGTGCCCAGAGAAGCTGTGGCTGCCCCATCCCTGGCAGTGTTCAAGGCCAAGTTGGACACAGGGGCTTGGAGCAACCTGCTCTAGTGGAAGGTGTTCCTGCCCGTGGCAGGGATTGGAAGTGGATGAGCTTTAAGGTCCCTTCAACCCAACCCATTCTGTGTTTCTATAATTCCTGCCCTGCTCCCATGTGTCTCACTGATGTTCATGTCTGTCGTCCCAAACTCAGTATGTGAACACTGGAGGATGGAGCTGAGTGCAGGCAGGTCTCTGACTTGAGTCTTTTCCACCGGGCTGCCTTAAAGACACCAGAAGTCCAGGCAGGGGGAACCCGAACCCTTGTTCATCCGACAGCGTGTGTCCAGAGCTGATCAGAGGAAATTAAATGCTATCAGTGGTGTGCTCCATCTCCTTCAGCTCCAGTGGGAGACCAGCCCCAGGGCTGCAGTGGAGATGTCTGCCATCTTTGAGGCACTGAGACAAAGCACCTTTTCTCATAAGGGGGCACGTCTGCTATAAATGAGAGTTTAATGAAATACAATTTAATCTTGTAGTGAAACGTATTTTTTCCATTCTCAGCTCAGGGAATAGCTGATCCATTTTAGCTGAAGGCCTCAGAAAACTTGCCCTGAAACAGCCAGTATGTTAAATTTCAGCCCCTAAAGGTAACATTATAATAGACTATAATGGGGCCAGCGATGGAATTTAACCAGTTGCCAGTAGTTATAATAAGTAGTGATTAAACACCTTATAAAAAGAGTGAGCCAAGCTACCTGAATGTAATCTATGCCCTTCTCACAACTTCTCCTTCATGGCTTTTCTCTTCCTTTTTTTTGCAAAACAAGGATGTTCAGATAGTGAAATCTTGTGGGAGTTTCCACAGCATAGAAAAGGGAATAAAGAACATGTTGCCACTATAATAATTTTGGCTACTGTCATTGCAAAGAATTTCAATAGAGGCAAAGACATAAATTTTTTAGAAAAATATTTCTTTATTGAAATTTGAATTAAATATTACATCAAAAATTCAATTCATTAAACATAGAAAATATAACCAGTGCACAAGTCTTCGTTTAAATAAATACATCTTTTAAATTATATTCTTGCTTGTCTGGAATGGAGTTATTGCACGTTATCCCTCCCTTATAAAAAAAATAAATAGCAAAGCACTGAAATCAGATTCTGGAGCATCTTCAGTTTCTCAGCTCTCTTTAAATGCCATGCAAGCACTTCCGATGGAGCCTGCAGACGGCCGTGGCACTCTCGTCCGGCGGTGGGGGACATGGGTGGCAGGATCTCACTGCAGCTCTAGGTCATTCACGTACTCCTGGACCCAGTCCTGCTCGGGGTTGGCGCAGACTTGGCGGCCCTTCTTTGTGACAAACCTGTGGGGTGCAGAGAGGTAAGTTTTCGGTGGGAGGGCACTGCATGGAGAGGAGCCCTGCCCCAAACCCCGGCTTTCTTGGGAATCGGCAGAATTTGGGCATGCAGGATGCCATGACCATCACATCCGGCTGCCACCAACTAGTCTGCAAAGTGGCAGAGCAGGACTGGCTTGAGCCCACGGAGCATCCCCTCATACCTCTTGTCCTCCCTTCCCTCCCATCCCTGGGGTCAGCCGCCATCCCCTGTAACTGTGAAAAGGGTCTTTCCCTGGTTGGATCCCCAGCCCAAAGGGAAAGCCCACCGCCGCCCAGGAGGAGAGGACTTACACAACTGCTGGCTGAGGGCACTGGCTGCTGGTCTCATAGTACTCCACCACGAAGCTGCGGGGCAGTTGCCGGGAGATGTAGGAGAAGCAGCAGGAGGTTGGTGGGTCGGAGCCAACTGTGAAGGGCAAAGATAGCTGTTGTCAGTGACCAGGTCTGGGGAGCGTGTGGATTCTTTCCCTTTCTGGGCTCAGCCTGAACTGACACTGACAGAGCCCATGCCATGCTTTGAGCTCTGTCTTTCCCGTGGCAGGAGAACCCTGATGGCCCTGGAGCACCTGCCAGAGGGTGGTCTGACACAGGAAGGGAGCCGGGGACAGAAACACTGGCAGAAGACACCCTGTCCCAGCAGTGACATTTCTCCTGTCCCCATTCAGAGGGGAGCAGGAGAGCTGGACTTACTTGGTGCAGCAGACGTCTGGTAGCAGAAGGCAGCAACGAGGATGGCAAGGGCAGCCACAGAGCCCTTCATGTCAGCTGAGAAGTGGCGGCTGGAGCTGAAGCAGGCAAAAGGAGCTTGAAAGCCTCTTTTCTGTCTGCTGCCGAAACAGTCAGCAGCTCCCCAATTTATGGAGTGAGGAGGTCCATGCGGTGGCTTGTGTAGGCATGGTGGAATTTCCATCAGAGGAGAGGCTGCTCATGGTACAAGTCTCGTGATGGAACAAAGCAGCAGCCCCAGCCCCGGAAGGGTGAAGCTCCCCCCTTGATTCAGTGCCTTCCCAGTGACACAGGATATGAAATAATTAACCACTGCTATTTGTGCTACTTTCATGCATGTCCCTTAGCAAGAAGTTCCCCATGGAGGTTCCTGCATTTGCCAACAGGCTGCTGTTACCCAACCTGCCCAAGCAGCTTGTAGGTGAGAGTGCATCCTTCCAAGGGCAATGCAAATGGCCTGAAGAGTATGAATGAGAGGAGGCCCGTTAGGGAGAAAAGGGCTGAGGTGTCCTCTGCTGTGGACTGTTTCCCTCCCACATGTGCTGCCCCAGTAGCAGGAGATTGGAGCTTTCATCAGTAGGGTCCATGTCCTACTTGTGCTTCACATAGTTTAAAGGGACTCAAGGGCATGCCATGACAGCACTGCAGGCACCAGCACAGATAGATGTGGGCTTGAAATAAGAATCCCAGAAGCTGAAACACCAGGGATTGTTCACTGGGGAGAAGCTACCAGCCTACACACAGACTGCCATGGAGGTCTGCCAAAGTCCTCCCTGTCCCTGAGGAGGAGAGGGAAGGCCTGACAGGGACATGATAGATGCTCTGGGAAGAGCTGAGGGCTGTGCAGCTGTAATGAGATGTTCCTAGGAGGACATCTCTTCTCAACAGGAAGCAGATGCATTTCTTGGACATGTCTCCGTATCATCATTTTCAGTGCTCCCAGTCACTCAGTAAATAACCTCATGGTTTCCAAATATCACTCCAGAGCCTCATGGTATGCACAGCCCACCGCCAGCCATGGCAGATTAGCTCCATGCAGGTGAACTGCTCTGCTCTGTGCAGGTAGAGGGGTCTGGAGGAGAACATAGTCCTGGACTTGCACAGGAGAAGTCCCAGAGGTGGCCCATCTTCAAAGAGTCTCCTGTTGGGAGCCATGGTGGTGTGTCTGCCCCTCACCCTGCTGGAGAAAATGCCAAGCTGAGCATCACCTTCCTTCCTGGCTACCCCGTGGCCCTGTCCGTCCTCCACTTTGCCACTTGCAGAGAGAGAGGCACCTGGCAGGCTCACTCATCAGTTCAGACCTCACTCCCTACTCTGCTTGTCAGCCTCCTTGTCCCCAGGTATCCTGGGAGGATGAGGAGAGAGGCTGCCACCGCAGGCAGGGCGCCCAGCCAAGCAGGGGCCGGGAACCCGGTGGCCAGGCAGACATCAGCTGGACCAGGAACCGGCTCTGAGCTTGTGTCAGCTTAACTTGGCTCCTCTGCCTGGCTGCTTGGGGAATATAACTTGCAGATGTACGTAAGAGCGTGGTTTGCCTCTGAGCTGTTCCCTGTGATTGTACCTTCAAGCGTTCATGGGTCATGTCTTGAGATGTGCCTCCTACAGCCGTCTGGCCCTGTCCTGCTCCCAAGGCACATGATGTGGGTAGAGCAGGCAGGCAAAATTCTTTTTATGGTGAGGAAATGTTCTGATAAAAAATGAGTTTCATTAAATCAGAAAAACTAGTTGGAAATTCACACTGGTTATTCAAATGTTTTCTGTGAGGTAATTTTCCATTTCAGGCAGCTGAAAACCTCCATGCCTTTATATCTTTGCAAACAAGTAGGTGCCGAATTGATTTGGACTGTCAAAGACCATTTTTTAATTAATAAACCAAAAATAATTTCTTAGTTTAGCTGAGTCAGTTTAGGATTAGTTCAACCTAGGTAATGTGTGTTACAGGAGCTGTGTAAGGGCTGAAACTTTTCTAGTGCTGAAAGCCAAAAATAACCCCAAATTTAGGGTGTTTGCTTCCTAGGGGTCTGGCTTTTGCCTAGAAACCTGACAAAGGCCCCCACTCTGCCAGTGCTTTGCAAGCTGGATGAAGTGAGAGGCTGTACTCATACCAGTGATGCCCTGGGATGTTGCCACATATGCCTAAAAAACGCATCCTGACTCGCTCCACCACATTCCAGGCATTATGAAACCAGAAAGTAATTTCTTCTAGCTCTTGCACCTTTTAGGAAGAGAGGATGCTGCATGTCTCAGGTGAAGGAGCATCTAACCTGGGACGTGCTCTGAGGTGGAGAGACAGCCACGGAAAAGTGGCCAAAGTGGGCTGGAGCATCTCAGGGGGAATAATTTGGTTCACAGTACATCAAAATGCTGGTCTGAGATGGAAGTTTTCCCACCATGGCTCCAGGTGGTTTCATAGAATGATAGATTCTATTTCCAATCCCTGCCACGGGCAAGAACACCTTCCACTAGAGCAGGTTGCTCCAAGCCCCTGTGTCCAACCTGGCCTTGAACACTGCCAGGGATGGGGCAGCCACAGTTTCTCTGGGCACCCTGTGCCAGTGCCTCAGCACCCTCACAGGGAAGAACTTCTGCCTAAGAGCTCATCTCAATCTCCCCTCTTAAATCTCTTCAGGAATCATGGCCAGCCTGTGTTCTACCCTTGCTCCCACCAGCAGCCCTCAGTGCTTGCGGTCAGCAGGACAGGCCATCTGAGGTTGTCTGGATGATATTGCATCAATTTACATAGAGGAATATGATGAAGCTTTTCTGCAAGCCCCCAAAATACCCCAGGAGAAAGCGCTAAGTAAAGCAAATGCCCAAAATAAATCTGGTAATAGCAGAAATAGGGAAATTATTGGTCTCAAATGAAAGGGGAACCCTGAAAAAAATGGTGAGACTGGCTGATGTAAGTTGCTATTGATAGCTGGGTTTAATGCCGACGAGTCAGGATTCACTCGGAAAAGGAAGTGCTTAATAATGTCCTGAGTTCAGAAACTGCCTCTGGGCCAAGCTCCACTTCCCCCCGCAGCAGTCTCTGTACCATCCTGCTCCGAGTTTGGGCACAGGTGACTTTCCACCAGTGCACAGAAATTTTGCCCCCACCATTCTCAGTGTTTCTGGAGAAATGTTGGAATTCTGTAGATGACGTCAGGCCCCAGAACTGGCTCCAGTGGGAACCTGTCCTGTGGCAGTGGCTGGGAAGCACAGGTCTACACCATGCAGGGTGAAGGGGCGAGTGTGACCATCCTGACCGGGTGTGAGTGAGCACTGGGCACTGCTGGCTGTGCTGCACAGGAAACTCCTTCATGCTCCCTGAAATCATGTCATGCCAGGAAGATGTTTGTGGCCAATAAGAAAAATGTTATCTTGTTAAGGGTTTAATCTTTCTCCAGCAAGGGCTTTTTCTGAAAAAACAAATAAAACAACCACAAAACATCCCTGGCAGTGTTCAAAGCAAGGCTGGATGGGAGTTGGATCAACCTGCTCTAGTGGAAAGTGTCCCTGCCCATGGCAGGGAGCTGGAACTGGATGAGCTTTAAGGTCCCTTCCAATCCAAACCAGTCTGGAATTCCATGATTCTATGAAAAAAGGCTCCTTGCTCACTCTGCTAGGATAAAAAAGAAAATCAGTTTCTAAACCAACCCAGTGGGTCTTGTTTGCTAATCATTATCAAGAAAAAGGCAAAGAAGCCAGCCAGAAATAGATTACTTTCACTGTCATTGCTGCTCCTGGAGCCCAGCTCTCCAGGAGGCTTGGGTGGTCTGGCTGTGGGTGGCCTGCAGAGCACAGGGTGAGTGGCTGCACCCCACGGGTGCTTAGGGAATATCCGAGCATCTCGACCTTCCCTGATCACAGAGGGGGCTGAGACCAGGGTTGTTGTCCTTTAAACTTGTGTCAGAGCCATTGCCACAGCTGGGGACTTCCCTGTGCATGGCCCTTGGACCTCCTGAAGACCCTGTGCCCACCAGCAGCAGTGTGCTGGCAGGGACATGTCAGGTGTCAGTCCCCCCCCCCAGCACTGACAGGGGAAGTATGAGCTTTCCAACGAGGTGTGAGCTTTCCGTCTGCCGTGGTCATGCACGGAGACCGGCAGCGGTGCTCAGATGTTTACAAGCCTTATGCTTTATTTTGGACTCACTGCAAGACTGCAAACCACTTCCCATGTGTGGGGGCTGTTTGTAGATTAGGGTGCTCTGCAGGTCCTGCTCCCTGTGATGTTGAGGGTTTTGCTAACCCAGATGGGCTTGTGCCCTTTAAAAGGGCCATTGTCCAGCTGCCCGGGCCAGCTCTGGCTCTGCCTGGCACAAGCATCCCCTGGGGCGGAGGGGAGGGCTCAAGGAGTTCTGTTGTGCCGCGACCCCACAGCCTCCCCATGCGGCCTCCTGCATCCCTCTGGACCGTGCAGGGATGTGCAGCTGCAGGAGGGACTTGCTGGGGATGGTTAGCTGGTGAGAACAGAGGGGATCTCAGCTCGGTCTGGGATCACCTTTGCCCCGGGCTGTGAGTGGAGGGACAAGGCTGTTGTCCCCAGGGCACCCCATACCCAGAGCTCACATCTGCTTGTGGGCTTATGGGCAAGAGGAGAAAATGGCCAGCAGGAGTGATGGGAATGGGATAAAAGGCCTTTACATGTTCCAAGGTCCTTCTGATGGTGCTACAGTGCCAGGGCCTGGATGGCGTAGCAGTCATGTTGTACCCCCAGAGGAAGGCAGATGAGGCTTCTCCATCAGCCTGGCAGAGCCCTCACCATCACAGGGGCAAACTGCACTGCTTCCCTCTGCCCTGGGGTATGTGCTTTGTGGCTCTTGGAGAGAGCAGGATTTCAGGAGGAGCTTGAAGGAGCCCCAAAGCCTCTGGGCTAATCCTTGTCACCATCTATCACAGGGGACAAAGACTCAACACCCACTATAACATTCTTCTGTACAGTCTTCCTGTTTGAATAATTTAAGCTTTCTTTTTCTACCCTGCTCACACCAAAACAAATCTCATGCCCCAGTCTGAGTGAGGCTAAAATGATAATGGCTCATTTCCAGGAGTAATAAAGGAAGATTGACAGTGATCAGCTTACACAGACTGCAGGAACTGTGACAAAAGGGGCTCTGGGATTTGACAGAGAAGCAAAAAGCAGTGTATAGAAACAGAAAGCTGAAAGCAGAAGCTGGCCTCAGAGCCTGTTGAGGGTGCCTTGCTCTGGGAGTTCCATGGCGGGGGAGAGGTGCCACCCTTCCAGGAGGCTCCTCAGCACTGCAGAGGAAACATCATCGCAGCTGACAAAGGGCAGTGTTGTCAGCACTAAATAGTTTGTGCAGATGACACAACCAAGGACCGCAGCTGCAGCAGCTCCTTGCAGACACTCCTCCAGCTCTGTCAGATTCATTAGCAGTAAATGACGTCTCCTTTCCTTCCACTGACCATCTCAGGGCTGCCAGATGGAGGACGGAGCTGCCTCATGCAGATCACATTGCACGCCCCATCACACCTCCCCTCCACACGGTGCTCCGTGTGCCGCCGGCCGTGTGGTTGCTCCTCACAGGCGGCAGGCTGGGGAGCAGAAGTTGTGAAGTTCCCATGAGCAAAGCCACCCCAGGCTGGTGTTAGCCGCAAAGCTGTCGTTCTGTAGCCACAACCCTTCTCACCCGGCAATGCAGCTTGCATTTGTCGCTTCCCTGTGCACACGCCAGCATGTGAGCTGAAGACATGGGGGAACATGAAACTCCCACTGTTGGTTTCTGCATGATTTATTTCCATGGTGAAAAGCCACAATTTGGTTTTGCTCGGCAGCAATTCACCAAAAGCTGGAGGCACTTCTTGTTCTGCCATAAACATCTGCCCAGAGCTACTCAGACATACCCAGGAAAAGCAGAGCTGGTCCTGCCAGGACTTGCTGCAAATTCAGCAGAACCCAGCACCTTTCCCCATACCTGTGTCAGGACATAGACAGTCTTTGGCCCCAATAAAAGCACACACTCTGCCACTCTGGTGATGTCTCTGCCCAGTTGCAGAGTCAGCTTGTGGCCTGCCACAGCCAACAGCACCAGTGGCCTGGGGTGTAACTCAGGGTAAGACCATGCAGGGAGGCAGGAGTGTGTAAGAGATCCTTCTGGGGAGAGTAAGTGTGGGGAGGAGCAGAGCGTCACCCATCTCAGGGGCTTTGGACCTTCCTTCTGTCCCTGCCAAAGACAAGCCACTTGGTGAGGGATGGTGTCTCCACTGCTCTCACTTGCTGCTCCAGGGTAGCTGAGCTGGGGATTTGTACTTCTAGAGGTGAAAATGCAGGTCCAGGAGCTCACCCACAGGCCTCAGCATCCTCTCTGCAGTGGAGGGGGGCTTTGACTCCAGCTGCATCCCCAGGCTGTGGTAGGATGTGAAGAAGACCCAGGTCACCCTCTCCCTGGTTTTCCCTGCTCCCTTGGAGCTGCCCTGAGCTGGTGACTTGCTGAGGCTTGAAAGTCTTTCCCGTACCAGGCAGGTTCTCCACCATTTGTTTCTCACCTTTTTGGCCAGAAAATCCATCTTGTACTCAAGGAAACTTTAGGAAGGATTTGTTCAGGCTGGCAAAATGTCTCTGGTGTGAAAACCTCCTCTTCCAGTGAACTCTGTGTTCCCCTGAGGGCTGAGGTTGAGGTGGCAAAAGACCTTCCTGCCTGCAAAGACCCTTCAAAGCAGGGTGAGACCCTGTCATTTGGTTTCTTTATGGAGGTCTGTGACTGTTAAGGTGACTGTGAGTAGTCAGGTGCCTCACCAACCTGGTGAGCCTGTGAAGGTGAGGTGGCTGACAAGATGGATGATGGTAGAGGGGTAAGTGGGTGTTTTTTGTCTCTAGTGAGGCTCCCATAACATCTGCATTGGTAAACTAATAAAGTATCACAGAATGACAGAATGTTTTGTGTTGGAAGGGACCTTAAAGCTCATCCAGCTCTAACCCCCTGCCATGGGCAGGGACACCTTCCACTAGAGCAGGTTGCTCCAAGCCCCTGTGTCCAACCTGGCCTTGAACACTGCCAGGGATGGGGCAGCCACAGCTTCTCTGGGCACCCTGAAGAGCTTCTGCCCAAGCTTCTGCCCAAGAGCTCATCTCAGTCTCCTCTCTGGCAGGTTAAAACCATTCCCCTTGTCCTGTCCCTCCATCCCTTGTCCAAAGCCCCTCTCCAGGTTTCTTGTAGGCTCTGATCTAAGAGTTCTCTGATCCAAGTATGGATTAGATAAATGGGAGTGAGAGGGGCTGAGAACTGGCTGAACAGCTGGGCTTGGAGGGCTGTGATGCATGGTACAAAGTCCAGCTGGAGGCCACCCGCCAGTGTGCAACCCCTGGGATCAGTACTGGGGCCAGTACTCTTTAATATCTTAATGATCTGGATGTCCGGACAAAGTGCACCCTCATCAAGTTTGCAGGTGATGCAAAGCTGGAAGAAGTGACTGGTGCACTAGAGGAACATGCTGCCATACAGAGGGACCTTGTCAGGCTGGAGAAAATACAAAAAAATCATGAAGTTCAACAAAGTCCTGTCCCTGGGGAGGGACACCCCTAGGCATGGGTATGTGCTGGTGCTGACCAGCTGGAAAGCAGTTTGGCATGAAAGGACCCAGGAGTCCTGGTAGACACCAAACTGGACATGAGCCGCAACTTGCCCTTGCCACAAAGAAGGCAACAGGCTCCTGGGGTGCACTAGGAGCATTGCCAGCATGTAGAGGGACATGATCCTTCCCCTCTGCTCAGCACTGGTGAAGCCGCTCCTAGAGTGCTGCGTCCAGTTCTGGACTCCCCAGTATGAGAGACATATGGACATATTGGAGAGAGTTCAGCAAAGGGCCACAGAAATGGTTAAGGGACAGGAACATCTCTCCTAGGAGTAAGGCTGGGAGAGCTGGGATTGTTCATCCTGGAGAACAGAGAGCTCTGGGGAATCTCATCAACATGTGTGTGGGGACCAAAGTAGACAGAGCTCAACTCTTCTCAGTAGTGTGCAATGACAGGACAAGAGGCAACAAGAAATTCTGTTTAAACAGCAGAAAAAATTTTATTGCTGAACACTGAAATAGTTTGCCCAGAGATGTTGTGGAGTCTCCATGCCTGGAGACACTCAAAGCCCATCGGGATGTGGCCCTGAGCAGCCTTCCCACTGACCCTGCTTGGAACAGGGGCTGGACTGGATGATCCTCAGGGTGCCTCCAGCCCCAGCTCCTCACCGGTCCTTGTTAAGCCCAGCACTGCGGGACAGGTAGGAGCAAAGCGCCCGCAGTCCTGCCACCTCTCAGCTCTACGTGGTGCAGCTTGGCAGCCTTTGGTAAATGCCCGACACAAACAGCACAAGCACGCTCCAGAGCTGCCCCTCTGGGTATTTTTTTCCAGAGTTGCATAATCTTAGGCAAGCATTGTGTCTTTTTGCTATACAGGCTCAGGGAAAATCCCTCCCGCACTTCAGATAAATAGTGCCATGTCACTTGGCACATTTAGTTTCCTTTTGATTTCATGAAATCGAAAATGAACACTGAGTCAGAGCTCAGCAGACTTGGCTCCAATGTGAACCATATCCCATTCTTTATGACTTCTTTTTTTTTCCCCTTGTTTGCTTTGGCGATTTCACTTTCGTGACATTCTTTCTCATCATCCTGGAATTTCCACTTCGGCTTCTCCCAGCTACCTCCAGAACTCCCTAATAAAAGGGAGCTGAATCCAGCTGCTGCAATCTGAGCCTCGTCTGCTGGAGCTTCTGGTCCTGCTCTGAGTGCCCTCACCTAACGGGAAGATGAAGGTCTCTGCAGCTGTTTTTGCTCTTCTCCTCATTGCAGCTTCTTGCTCCCAGACTTCCTCTGGCCCAGGTGAGTCTTACTTTTTCATTTGAGAACAGATCTGAGCTTTTGGTGTCATCCTCCATTGAGCTTCCCTGGCAGATAATCGGGAATTTTTCAGCATTTGTAGAGCTTTCCACTCTGCACTGGGATCAGCTACATGTAGGAATCCCAGAGTTAGAAAATCACCCATCCATCCATCCATCCATCCTTCCATCCATACATCTGTTCATCCAGCCATCCTAGACTCAGAGTACTGATTCCTGGTTGTAGTTTGGGGACTTCAGTCTCTGCTCTGGGGCTGGGGGAGGTGGAGAAATGAAGCTCTGAGCAACGACTGCGTAGGAATTTCCCCCAGTAGTCAACAGTGCTGTTCCTGGCACTGGACCAGATGATCCCCAACATCCACTTCAACTTTAATTATTCTCTAATTCCTCACCCCCTTCCCCACCAGCACAGCTCCACGAGCTGATGGGCTGGCTGCTCCCGAGGCACAGGCCAGCACATGCTCACATCAGCTCTCCTTGCCTGTTGCAGTTGGATCCGATGTCCCAATCTGCTGCTTCTCCTACACAGCCCACAAGCTCCCACATAGGCGCATCCTGCGTTATTACAGCACCAGCACCAGCTGCATGCTGCCAGCCATTGTGTAAGTACCAGCGTTGGCTCCTGGGTGTGGATGAGCTGGGGCAGTGCGGGGACAGTTCCTATGGGGTGTGTGTGTGAGTGACCAGGGCAGCTGTGGGCATGGGGGTCTGTAGGAACAGAGCAGGGTGAGGGGAGCCCCAAGGGGGAAGGGCTTGGGCAGGGACTGTGCGCTGGTGGGGATGCACATGGATGTTCCTGCAGGAGTTGAGGAGGCAGCGTAGGAAAAGGGATGGAGCAGGGGAAATCATAGAATCACAGACTGGTTTGGGTTGGAGGGACTTTAAACCTCAACTACTTCCATCCTGCCACGGGATGCTCCAGGGGCTCCAAGCCCCTGTGTCCAACCTGGCCTTGAACACTGCCAGGGATGGGGCAGTCACAGCTTCTGTGGGCACCTTGTGCCAGCGCCTCAGCACCCTCACAGGGAAGAACTTCCACCTTTAATTGCAGACAGCCACTGGTTTCAGCATCAGTTTAAGTCATGGCGGAGAATCTCTTGCAGTGTCCCAAAGCTAGGATCCAGGCTCTTCCAGGATGCAAGTTTGAGCTGAGATCTAATGTCTCATCCCTCTTCCACAGGTTCATCACAAAGAAAGGCCACCAGGTCTGTGCCAATCCCAGTCACACCTGGGTTCAAACGTACCTGAAAAACTCGAACTGAGCAAAGCAAGATGGCAAGCATAGCTGCTGTCATGCACGAGCTGCATTTTCCCAAGCTCCTGTGATGGAGCAGGACACTGGGGCAACAGGAGCTACTGAGCTCATGTCACCTGCAAGCAGCTCCAGGGGACCACTGGAAGGGCACCACAAGATGCCTCATGTTAGGGTGCTGCTGCTTGCCCTTGGCTTGCATGGACTGGTCTACAACTTCATTCATCTGCCCCGACACCTCCACCTGTGGCCTGGAAAGGCACATGGGACTGGACCTCTGTTGTAATATATTAAATTATTTAAGAAATTATCATATAGGATAGGCAGTACTTTGTGGGTAATAATGCTATTTATGAGAGAGTGGCAGGGAGGGTATTTATGGGAGGGTAGCTCAGAGTCTCAGTGTTGGATGATGGTTGGCCCTGGCTTATATATATGAAATCATGATTCTGGAAAATAAAGAATTTGGACAAATCCTCTGCTTTCTTCCCTTTGTGTGCCTCTGTGTTGTGTTCACCAGCACAGAGACAGAACCTCACCCTAAGCCTTTCTGCATACTCTATATGGCATGTGATGATGGAAAATGGTTTGAGGCAAACCCATGAAGTTTCGATACTGCAGACACATGAACATCCTCTGACACCTTGTTCCCCACCACATGCACCCCAGCCTCCCACATCCTCTACAGAATCAGACATGTTTCTATGCCCCGATGAGCCTCTTTCTTACATACATGAACATGCTGTCCACACATATGTCCCATATGCTTTCATGCTGCTCCCAGCCCCACACGCTGCACCCCAAACTGGTTCCTGGGCACCATGTGTGTGCAAGGCACTGGAGACAGGGTACGTTGCTGTAAGTGGTAAAATCCTGCCAGAAGCTTTGGTAGGTAAAGCAGAGAGAGCAGCTTCAGGGTGGGTGGGAGTAAACAGAGGGCATGGAGCTGCCAAGGTGCTGCGCCTGTGCTGGGAGTTGGCAGGTACCAGGACTCATGAGCTGTTTTGTCCACCCTCGTGCTGAGGGTGCTGGGGTGCCAATACCCTGCTGTTACCCACCCCTGACTGCTGTTTCTGCCAGCTAAACATCAGTGTTTCCCTGCACAGAGCCCACAGGCACCCACATACACACTGTCAGCACCCCACGGTGTCTCCTCACAAGTGCCTGTTCCTTTGAGACATCACCACATCTCTGCCCACCACCCCACTGTGCAGCCAGGTCCTGCCTAGCCCAGCAGTGCTGCCAGGAGAGGGGCAGGGACCCCAGCTTTCGTTCTGACCACCCTGATGGGGTTGTTCCTGTAAACCAAAAAGAACGGGTCAGCTATGCTGCAGGAGTAAAACAGCCACCAGCAAACCTGCCGCAGACATTCCTAGGACACAGCTTTGCATGGGAACATGAATGGGAGGGAGCAGGTCCAAAGGGTAAAAGCACAGCGCTGGGCACAGCTTTCCCATTGCAAACGTGTTCAGCAGTCCTCTGCTTCTGCAGATTGAGAAGCCATGCCCCCAACATCATGATCACCCAAAGCTGGCCTGGCCTTGCAGCTATCCTGCTCTTCTTCCTAATGTAAACAAAAGCCTTTCTCTTATTGCTTCATTTTTTCCAGTAGCTATAGATCAGACTTGGCCAGCCTGAGGCTGGGAAAGCACCTCAATGTTGTCTTGTGATTTCCCTTTAGTCTTGTCTTTTCCAGGATGGAAAGCTGGCTGCAGGCAGGAGGGCTCATGGGGCACCTGAGGAGTTTGCCCTCACAGCAAAGGGCAAACCCAGTCCAGGGCCCTGTATTGTGTCCCAGGAGATGATGCTGGTGATGGGGGACCACATCGGGGGCTCCTCTTCCATGGGGATGTCTCTGCTGGGGGGGTGATTTGGGAAAGACATACTGCCCGCCCTGCAGGGTCCCTGTGCTCCCACAGAGAAGCAGGGTCCCAGCAGAGAAGGTCAGGTCACGCCCAAGCAGGGACAAGGTGGGTCAACGTGTCTGAAAAAATCTTGTCCTGCTCTGTGGCCAGTGCTTACCACTGCCGAGGAGAGGCTGAAACCTGCAGAGAGCTGCATCCTGAGTGGGCTTCCCCACTGTGCCGTGAAACAAGGGAGCAGAGCGTGGCTGCTGCGTGGTGAGGGGGGGG